ACAGAGTAACTTCCAAAGCTGAAAGTAATTTTTTTCACTTGTGAAAATGAGACTCATGCTTCATCACTGAAAATATCCAGATGCTTGATAACTTATTTGTATAAAAATATTTAACATGACCTTCTAATCAGTCAAAGCAATAAAGTCTCTAATGCCAAGCAAAAACTAAAAGCAAAAAATCGTGATTCTCTTCAGGCTACCTCGGGAGCACACCGTGGACACTCATTTTGTTAACCTATAAAAAAGCCATTTGCAACAAAGTGGAGAAACAAATATTTTACCAGCCATGTACTCAGTGGGACTCTACCATGCTATACTATTCAGAAGTAGCTTTAAGCTTTTCACATGGGAAGGAAAAACAAAACAAACCCTCAGGAGAAAGCTTAAACATGAACATTTCAAATGAAAACAGCATTTAGTATAGTGATAAAAATCAAAGAGAAAATTGAAGATTAAACACACGGTGAAAGAATTTTCCTTGTAACTGAAATCCCCCTCCAGAGTGTTTTGTAATTATGAATGTGCGACTGATCAAAAATAAGATTTGGGCCAGGCCATGGTTATTGTGGGGACACTGGTGATGCTGGCCCCAGCTGCTGTTTTAAATCCTTCTGGATCATGCTGAGATTCATAGCCAAACTTTAGGGAGTCCTGAACTGAAATAGCAAACAAACATTTAAGATTTACTTGCCTTTTTTCAAGGGTTCCTAATTTTCAACAAATTCCCAAAGGATCCATGGTATCCACCACTTTTCCCCCAAGAGGTACCCACAGATGGTGTAAAACCATTAGCCACTTTTTTTAAGCAATTCCTTCAAATATATTAATGAACATGAATGAAAATTACTTAGCAAGATGGATTTATATCAAAACAAATCAAAGTGGTATCAAGTTTCTTCCACACACCATGAGACTTCTAGAACATACTATCACAATTTTTTAAATGAAGCTTAACTTTACATTTTGTGAAAAGAGTTCTGAAAGGCATTAAAGACATTATGTCAGCACATTATTTTAAAAATTCAGGAGGAAAAATAACAGTGTGTTTCTCAACCTTAGATAAGGCACTTTTAGGCATCTAAAATGATTTCTCAATGTCCAAATGTCTGGTGGCATTAGTCCCAATCCAGTTAATGAAGTGCTACCTTGTTTTCTATTCTGATGTTATGCCTTAGAAGTAGAACCCCAGGGAGCCCCCCTCCTCTCCACAGTAGAGAGGGATATGATCAAGGGCTTGATTTGGGCATTCCCTGTCCTTTAGACAAACACCAACAAGCCCCCTAACATATTTAAGATAATTACATGAAAGGTCACCTGACCGATTCCCCTCCATGAGTCAGATGCCAGAAATCAACTGGCAGCAGACCCTGTTTGACAGACTCTGTTAACCTCTCTCTTTCCCCAAAGGTACCAAAAGATTAATTCTGAAACTCTTAAATAAAACTCAGAGATTTTGATGGGCAATGGTACAGAAAGACCGCATATTTCACGGTCTCTAATGTTTAATTTGCTATTCAATTATGTAGCCTAGGTGATATCTGGCACGGGTGATCGAATAAAAACTTCAGCTTGATTTGGACCAATTCTCCAGGGCTTGCTCAAGGCCCCCCCCGCCCCCCCCCCCTTGTATCACACTTCCCCACAGAAGCCTGCATTCCAAGGCAGAAGCTCCCTGCTGAACCATCAGGATCAAGTGCAAGAGTTTACAGACGGATGCACATGGGGACCACACTGCAGCAATATGCACTTTGAAAAGCAAACTCTTTTAAATTGATGAAAAACATCATTCATGTGAAATTTAAGAGGTAAATGCATCCATGTAAGTGCCAGGCATGTACTATTTGCAATATACACATTATGGGGAAAATTTAAAAATGGGAAGATTAACAGAATAGAAAGCAAACATGAATTGCCCTCTGAGAGAGAAGCAGGCCAGGGTCAGTGTCGTTTTAGTTTTTCTGAATGCTATACCTCTTGTTGCACATGACTGAAGTTCTGGAATATTTTAGAGGACCAGCTGCTTTTAAAAAGAACTCTTTCTACTCTGGTAGGTCATATTACAGACCAGAGACCACAAATTTATTTCAAGTTCAATTTTTTGGTTTTCAAAATCACAAACTTAATTGCAAACACTCCTCCATGACTCCAAAATGGAGATATATGTCACATTGCTAAGAAATCTTTAGTTCCCAACATTGTGAGGTATTAATTTCGTAGTTTCAGGCAGCAAATAGAGATACTGCCCAATTTGAAAAGGGCTGCCTGACAAGCCAAGGAAGACATTTCGGTCAAAATATCCATGAAGTCCAGCAGATAAGGCTTCAGAAATGCAGGCCAAGGCTGCACTCTCCTTTTCCCAAGAAATTTCCCCTCTTGATCTCTAGCCCCAACTCCTCAGGGGCCTAGGCTGGGGCTGGGGCTCAGACATTTCCCAGACTGTTGTTCTGCTGCTGGACCCAAGACACAGGCAGGCAGAGAACTGGGACAGAGTCAAGTCCCACCACACGCTTTATGAATTACAGTGCCTGGGAGGCATCAGCTTTAAGGAGAGGCAAAGGCAGAGATAAAGAAAATGTGCAGAAAGTACATAAAGATAAATGCTTGTAAAAATCACTGTTGTTTTAATGCACTCCATATTGAGGAAATAAAAATGTGAATATTCTTGATGATTTAATGGCAAGAGCATCCAGCTAAGACCTCTTTGTCCAACTACACAATTATGCTATTTTATGCAAATATTTATAGTAGCTGATACTAATTTTCAATTACAGTTCTGGAGAGCTGGTTGAGTGCAGAAAAATGCTTTCTCAATGTGGGACACAGCTCTTTCCCTCATGAAAGCTGATACAGTTGAAGCAGATCTCTTGGGTCACAGCTACAGCGGCTCCCTGCTGGCTGAGCGACTATCTGGTGCTCCACGTATTTTCTCATCTGTCAGACTTGGGTTCAAAGCCAGACTTGATTCTTATAAACTCTACAACTTTGAGGAAGTTACCTAATTTGTATCAAATCATAGTTTTCTCATCTATAACGTAGGGATGGGTTGTGGGTAAGATTAAACAATATATAGTAATTGATACACTGCCAGCATAGACTATATATAACCTATCACTATGATTCTAATGGCTATTAGTAATATCACCAGTATTGCTCTCTGAGGCACCTCGGTAGCTCGCTGCTTCTCACAGCGGTGGACTGCGTTACAGTTTTGTCTCTTTCTGACCACAGGACCAGCCCAGAGGACTGTTTTATCTTTCAGAATCTCAGTTTTTTCACCAATAAAAGAGACATAATCACAACTTCCCTGTAATCTTATACCAGCTTTTTAAGAAAATGTTTATCCTAAAATATAGTTCCAAAATAGCCATGTGGATATATCTAAAATTAACAGTGTTTTTAAGAACTGGTAGGCTAGCAGAACATTACCACATTTTAAAAATTAAAATGAAGCTCTTCAAATATTTTCATTTGTATACTTAACTCAGGAAAAATATTGGTTTAATTGCTAAAACTGATCACATGCAATAAAAATCAGATTATCCAATTAATGCTAAGATTTTTAAATGATTATAAATTGATTTGGGGTTTGAATATATTAAATACTATATTTTAAAATGTTGGGCCCTAGCTGGTATGACTCATTGGATTGAGCACGCACCTGTGAACCAAAAGGTCGCAGGTTGGATTCCTGGTCAGGGCACATGCCTGGGTTGCAGGATGGTCCTTGGTTGAGGGTGTGAGAGAGGCAACATATCGATGTTTCTCTCACACATGTTTCTCTTACTCTCTTTCTCACTACCTTCCCCTCTTTCTAAAAATAAATAAACAAAATCTTTTTTAAATGTCAAAATGTTATTGAGAACTAATTTATCCATTTAATATGGAGCTACTTAATACTGAGAATTTGTTTTAGCATTCAGCTTTTCGTGATGATATAACTGGCCCACCTTACCCTGGGAATTGGTACCTGCAAAGTATGATACATTTTAACAGGTTGTCAGAGATTCACTTCTAACAAGATTCAAGGTCACAGAGCTTGCGTGAAGCAGAGGCAAAACCTGAACCCAGGTCTTTCTGTTGCTAAAGCCTGTGATCTTTCCAAAAAGCCATAGAGAGCTATGCTGCATATATCTTCAAGTCCTTTAGGCCCTCACAAGTGTCTTGATCAGAGCTGGCAAACATTCATTGATTTATTCAAAACTGGGCTGATCTCTTCCATATGTAGAGAATCTAGGAAGGACAAATTCTTCCTTATTACTGAACCAACAAGGAATCTTGAAAGGTTAAGGAGTTATGTAAAATTATTCAGAAATTCTTCCTTCTTTGAAAAGTAGAAAAAACACTAATAGAAAGCTTATTTTTAGAGTCCATACTGTACATAAATACAATATGGATATGATTTATCTAAAAATCTACATAATCTGGAATCCCAATACAACCCTCTTTGTTTTTAGACAGAATTGGTTGTCAGGTAAGCCTGTCTTAGACCCTTTACAAACATATTTATTTATCAAATGTCACAAGGTCCTTCTAAAAAACAAATCCCAAGATGGATCTGTTGTGTGCCAGAAAACACTGGAGGGACATGAACTCCTCATCCTTTCCCCTATCTAGAATAAATTCCCAACTACTGTATAATTCTCTATATTCTTTGCTTGAGAAAAACCTTAACCACAAATATTTATCTTTGATAGGAGAAAAAAACTCTGAGATTTCAGGTATTCGAAGCCTTAACTTCTCACACATTTTGCTGGCACCAATGCTAGACTATTATTTTCTTAAACACTTAAGTACATAAGCCATCAAAAGATAAGCCAATTGCCTTCTGAATATCCCACAGAAACACAACATCATCCTAATAGGCCATATTCCTCATACCTAATGGATTTCCAATTTGAAACATGAACGTGCCTCCTGAATCCACTGTGACCTGAGATGGGCAACTAAGCAATTAGTGTTCACTCACTGTTGACAGTCCACAACATGACTGCAAAATTTACCTCTCAAGTTCTGCAATCTTCTTGTCTTTGTCATTCTTTTCATTCTCCACCTCCTTGAGGATCTCCAGCAACCGGTCAACTTCTGCTTGGGCCTTGCCACATTCATCACGGTAATAAGATGCCTCTTTATCGAGCTGTTTTATTCGGTCTGCAAACTCGGGGTTCATCCTGGAGTCATCTTCAATATTATGAGCCTTCAACATTACATTTTTAAAGAATGTAGTTAACACAATAATTTAGAATAAAAGACAGTGCAGTCACCAATGGCCCAGAAATTAACTTTGAAGGAAAAAAAATAATAATCACCAAGAATTATGGGTATACTGTCAGTTAAAAGGCAAGATAGAAAAACTGCACATTCCAGCTACCATAGAAAAAGGTTGGTTTTAAATTATATTACAATTTCATTGGAGAGTTTCTGCTATTGTCGCTATTTTGTTGTTCCATTAAGTGTTTCTACTTTTTACTTTTTTTCTTGCCAAAAATTCAGGGATGATGAAGGCAGAGACCGTGAAGTCTTCCTGGTCATTTGTGAAGCAGAACTAAGACAAATCATCTCATGGTTAAGAAGATGATTCATACCAACAGCTTCCTTTTCCATTACCAGAGAAACCGAGATAAAACAGCACTAAATTATTTTTCTAAGAACCATCAAGGGCATATATAAAACCAGGTAACATATAAGAGACATGTTGACTGATCATGGCACATTTCATCCCACTGAGAAATTTCAGCAGAAGATGTTTGAAAGGAAGACTTGGAAGTGAGTAAGGGCTTTCCAGCTAACAGTCATACCCATAAATTCTTGTGCTATTGATTAAAGTTAACCTGAACCAGGAGGAGGTTGAGCTAATTCATGAACAAGCACACATATGAGAATCTGCAAACACATGCATGAGGGGTGTCAGCATTACACACAAGAACAGACACAGCAACAACATAGCAACAACACTGCAGAATCATTTGCAGCCAAAGTATTTGTGGTTTTGTGTGTGTAAGACTGTGTTATGTATTTTTTTCCCTAAATAAACTTTTGGCTGAAATATTCCCAGATAGATGGAAATAACACTGCACTGCAACGTTTTGCCTACCCCATGTTTCCCATTATTCCTAATTGAGTTCTTCAAAGAGCAGGCAGGGAGAAAACAAGTAGTTTAACAACAGTGCACATTCAACATAGAAAGTTCAGAGAAGCCATTTATGTATGTATATCCAACATCCATGTGTAAAATGAAAAAAATGTTAACAATTTATTAGGACTAAAGTTGTTCTGCTGTCTTGCTATAGAGAGCAAATAAATGCTTGTTGTGTTTTTAGATACCTTTTTTTTAATTTCAGGGAAAAAACAAGGCAAGCAAGCTACAGCTACTGTGGGGTCAAATGAATCATGCATGGTTAGAAAATACTACTGTTAAAAGGCTGACAATCTTTGCAATTATTTAGTAAAAAAATCAAAAATTAGTATAAATAAAAATAAATTTCTTTATGACAAAATAATCATTTTAGGATAGCATTTTGCATGTAACATATTATTTAAGCATGAGGATAGAAGGAGAATAATTTGTTTTTACTCTTTTTAAGATTTTCTTATTCAAGAAAAAACTCAACTATGCAAAAGATCTTTGGAAAATATAACAATATTTTCAACATATTATCAGATACTGGTTTACCCCCTTTTACCAATATTTCTCAGGAAAGTTATCTTTCAATTTACTTACTATGTACACTGGTTTTCATTATAATAGGTAGTAAACAGTTTCAATATAATTAAAATAATCTGAAAAAGTACTAAGCTAATATGTCCTTAAGAATTTATTCATCTAATAATTTTATTTTAATTGTAGTAATAAATATTTTCATTTAAGCTCCTATTTAAAATGTAGAGCAGATATTCTATTTTAAAAGAAAATATTCTATATAACTAATTCTATTTGTGATGATAAGAATCAATTCATTACTCTTATAACAGCAAAACCATTAAAAGTACAGTTTTTAAATTGCTAGAAAATAAGAAAACCAAAATTCTCATGTTAATTCTCTTCCACTTGTATACTATCTTATCATTATTTTACAGAGGCTAAAAACTTTTCATGATATTTTTCTCAAACTATCCAAACAATAACATTAAGAGCTTTAAAAAATAATTAATAAACTGAGGTGTGAGCCACTAGAAACACTCAAATAAGTGAATTAATATTTTTATTGGTTTATTCTGACAAGTTAAAATGCCTTTCTTCACTCAGATTTAAAGATTCACAAGGAGCTAGAAGTCAGCCACTGTGATTTATTTTGGTTATTTTTATACTTCAGATTATTATTATCACAATTTTTAATAAGTGGGTAGAGGATTACTAGTTACAAGACCTAGATTCATCAATGGGGCTTGTTATACAGCTAAGTAAATAGGTCTATTTAATTTTCATTGATAAGATATTAGATACACCCTAAAAAAGCCTCCCTGCTAGGTTTACAGAGAAAGCTGCTGGTTACAGGTTTATGAGCACATTCCTTATTTTAGCTTCTTAAAGAGAAGATAATAATCCAAAGCTAGCTTTCAACTTGGGGGTGAAATTAGATAGGCTGGTAGTCTTTTCAACCCAAAAAGTAGGTGTGGTTAAAGGACTCATGAGATGTTTGAGGAACAGAAAACTGAGGAAAAAAGATGCCTAAATGTAGATCACCATTGGCCTCATGTGGTGCTAAAGTTGATTGTTATTAAAATAAAGACCATAGTTAAGTTTACAGCTGGACAGGTGTCTGTTAGATAATATACATTGATGTTAATGATTCTCCTTTTTAAAGGAATAGATAACCTCGAAACTATCTTTGAGTTAAATATATCTATCCATCTCTATATCAATATCTACTGATTTCTGGGCAAAATAATTTCTATCAAACCACCTTCAATATTGGTACTATAATTTTTGGAGAAGTATTTAAATAAAGGTGAAAATAGATAGTATTTAAAATTATTTAAGTTAGTAGAAAGCTGTAAGAAAGTGTCACAGAAAGATGGGAGAGTAACAGCTGCTTCTGGGTCAGCACCAGGGTCCAGGTAAAGACCCAGGGAAAAGAGAGTTTCACATGGCTGAACACTGGTGATTCCCTGATCCAGCCTGAGTATTGGAGCCAAAAGTCTTCACAGAATTTATGAAAGATAGTGCAGTTAATCATTTTTGTTAATCCTGAATCACTACTTTTCAGAGGGTGGGCTGAAACTGTTAACTAGTACAGTGTGAGTGTGTTATGCTGTGATCTACAGACTTGGGGGTGATACTAAGAAACAATGGAGGAAATTGAGCTTATAAAGCCAATGCTTCCTCGAAGATATAAGGCCAGAGCTCTCATCTAAAAAGGGAGTAAACGAAGTAGTTTACTTGCATTTAGATAATACTCTTGCATTTTCTAATTATATCATGGGTTGTTTGATCTGGATAGGTAGCTCCCAGTGGGGATCAAAAGGAGATAACAGTTTGGGGCCTAATGTACTTTAGATACTGCAGAAAAAATAATAGATATATTAAATAAGCATTTCTGAACAAATTCCTACAAGGCATTCTGACCCATTCAAGGTTTAGACTGAAAATGCAAAGTAATTATTTCCCCCATGAATCTGTTGGTTTAAAATTAGCTCCCTGAAAAGGTCAGGAAACTATTGCTCATCCCATTCTCATAAGGCCTATCAATTTCGTCCATTCATTAGGAATTTAGCTCTTGAAAATGCAGGTTGGTGTGGATTTTCCTTTAATGATTTCAGAACTTATTTACCATAAATACAGCCAAGCACACTCTCACTTTCAGATACCCACCAGTCACTAAAAACAAAGGAATATCAATGAGCACCCTTTTCTAACTGTAGAGATTTAATTTTGCTGATGATATGGCTCAGTTTAAGAGAAAATCCAGGTACCTGGCTCTGCCTCAAAGTATTTCTGGTAACTTCTAGAGCAACTCTCAAGCATCTATAAGATGTGTTTCTATAAGAAACATGAAATATTAGCAAAAGAATACCTCAGACGTGTCTATATAATGTATTAGATCAGAAAGTTTTAAGCGCCCCCCACTTATGTCTCTTGAATTTTCACATGTGAGAAAATTTCTCCACAAATGTGAATAATCAAAATAAAGTTTGGAATCTCACTAATATGGGCAGGACTTGGTATTTTGATGTGTATTCTGAAAGCCTGAATCAAGCACAAAGGAAAAATCTGGTCATGACTGGGGACGAGTAGTACATAAAAATACCTAGTGGTTATTTTAATGAAAAAAATTTAGAATTATTTCAGGAATAAGGCAAAATTTTAGATAAATACTATACCTAAATCAAATTTAAGAGCAAACAGTAGCTAAAACCAGGTATTGATAGTATCAGTACAACAAATTACAAGTTTATTTACACTCTTCATGGAAAACTTGGTCATTGATTCCTTTCAATAAATTGACAGTCTTTCATTCCAAGTACCTGGGAAGGAAAGCATTAACTTTGGTCCAGAAACCTGCTGTGAAACCAGGCAGGGAATATTCAATTGTAATATTATATGACATTCTCTCTTTGAAATGGGCCCTAGTGATTTTAATAAAAAAATTGGTTCTCTCAGTATGCATTGATATTTCTCTCCCTCTCTTTCTCCTTCTCTACCCTTCTCTCTAAAAATGAATAAAATATTTTTTAAAAATTAAATTAAATTTTAAAAATCGTGTCTCTCAAACAAATTAGTCATGACCATAAAGTGCAAGCAGAACACTAAGTAATGAATCTGATGACTTGTCTTCCATGTGGTTTCTGGGTTTTAGCAATAATTTGCTAAATATATTCCCTATAAAAATATGATTCTTGATTGCAGCACCTGTAGGGGTTTAGTGTCTGTTAACTGTGCTTTAACACTCCTTTAATATCTTAACAGCAGAGCAGGCTATATAAACTACTTTAAGCATATTTGATTTTAATATTCTAAAAGAAATTATAATCTTCACATATTCTGAGTTATGAACAAAATATTACTTTGTAAAATATAGTTTTAAGGGTTATTATACAACTCTAACATATAATTTTTAAATTTTATTTTAAGCCCAATTAATTAATACCAAATATAATAGCTGAGACTAAACAATACATTTGTGAACTAATGAGAATGAGTCTTTGGCTAGCTATTACACTATCTAGTTCTACAGAAAATTATTTTTTCGATAATCT